TCTGAAGAAGGGACGCAGGCTTCTGAGGACGGCGGCTCCTCCGGTGGCAGTGCTTGCATGAAACAGTGATCCAAGAGGTGGAGGAAGGACCAAATGACTGAGAAGAGGCACCCTGATTGAAGAAAGAAGCGGAAGGGGGTGAGGCTTCCGACCACGAGAGAGAGACCTGGAACAAGCTATTTTCAATTTCCAACCAAACACTCGAAGGAATGAGGATGGTGTCAAAAACCTCCAGGAGAAGACACATGGAGCCAAGCGGGAGGGTCTCAAGAGATTTCCAATGAATCGAGACGAGGTCACCACATGCCTCCGCCACTTTCCTAAGGGTAGAGGGGGACCACGCGTGGAGGGGGATGCGTTGGATGGTGAGCCAGATACACTGCTTCCCTTCTGAGGGAGACCACGGTCTAAGGTTGCATGAAGCACCTTTGAAAACCGAGGATTGGAAAGTGTCCAGAACATGCTTAGCCAAGGCTGGGGAAGGGAAGGAGAAAAGGTAATCTCCTCCTGAGATTCGTTTGCATGTGAGGGGGGAAGCTGCATATTACTTGAAATGACGACCTGAGAAAAAGAAAGCTTAGGAGATTTCTCAGCCGTGGAGGAATGAGATTCAGCAGAACCAGAAGAAGAAGAATGGGCGGTGGGACGAGAGAGGTGGTTGTGTGAGAGCACAAAGTGCGTAGAAGGATAAAGGGCGTAAATCTTATTCCAATCAGAGGGCTGAAGAGAGAAGCAAAGGCACAAGATACGGGGAGGACGAAAGGGGGGATGGAAACGCTTGGGAAGATGACGAAGACCCATTCTTACATCCTTGCGTGATCCTCTATTTATTTTTTTCCTCGCTCTTGAGAATCGTGTTTCAATCGAAATAGATCTAAGTTTCATCCACATATGGAATCGAGATTCCGTCTTTGGAATCGAGATTTCCATCCCCCTAGAATCGACACTCCAGAAATCAAGATTCATTAATATGCGGAATCGAGTTTCTGATATCTATGGAATAGAGTTTCTGACATATGTGGAACAGAGATGTATTTTTTTCAGATAAAGTTAACATAAACAAAGATGTTGTTGTGTCAAATCGTTATTCTAACATATTTGGAATCAAGTTTCTAAAGTATATGGATCAAAGATCCATACCAGTTTTAGATCGAGATTTGCAATAATATGGACTGTGCAATGCGTTTGATGACCCCTACTAGGAATCAAGATTTCATTTTTATGGAATAGGAAACCCCAAGCACATTTTGAGCCTTATCAACTTTAGAACCTATATTGAATGTCTCTTATTAGAAGGTTTCCCAAATTGTGTTGACTATTGAACTTACAGTCATTATATACAAAAGAAGTATTTCTAAATTGTGATTTTGCCTTCATTATTGTAAAGACAAAATAGGATTATGTCTATGCCATGGTTTTACGTTTAATTGTATGTGTTGTATTTACCAATTATATTTTAAATTTAAAGTAAAAGCCATCTAGGGTGGCACAAGTAACATAATGAAAACCTGCAACCAGTAGAAGCATTCGAAGGAATATTTCTACTCAAATTTCCGTTAAGAAGTGCACAACCATCATAGACATCGGACATTATGTACTTTGAATTGGTTTTTTTCTTTTATTTTTGGTACTTTGAATTTATTTATTTTTGAATCAAGATTTAATCCTCGCTGGAATCCAGATGCGATATATTTGGGAACGTCTACCCACAATTAATGGGTTCAAGTTTCTAAAGATGTGTTGGATCGAGATTCCGAAATTAAGGAATCGAGTTTCCTTGGTTCCAATAAATGGTTTCTAAAGATGTGTTGAATTGAGATTCCGAAATTAAGGAATTGAGTTTCCTTGGTTCCGAAAATTGATTTCTAAAGATGTGTTGATTCGAAATTCCGAAATTAAAGAATTGAGTTTCCTTGTTTCCGAAAAGTGGTTTCTAAAGATGTGTTGAATCAATATTTCGAAATTAAGGAATCAAGTTTCCTTAGTTCCAAAAAACGGTTTCCGTGGAGATTCCTTAACTAAAATGCGCAATTCAGAACCGGAATTACAAGGTCGGTGGAGAGATTCCGGTAACCATGGTCTTTACCATATCTTACATCAAAAGAGCTAGTCTTGCTTATTTCAATCCAGAAGAAAATCTGACACAAAAACTCTGAATAATGCTTAGAAGGTAGAATATGTATATTAATGTGTACACCTTCATCCACAATCCATAGAACACTAACGACCCATCTCTCTCCAAATTTCCTAATCATTGTTTCTTGGAAGTTGGATTCCCCCCCCCCCCTGTTTGTCTCAGTACTAACACATTATTGTTCTAAGGCATATAAAAGATCCACTATCTTTGATTCCAAACTAATAATTATGTCTCTACAAAATTTTATGGGAAACGCATTTCACCGCTCCACCGGAAATTCCATCTGCCTCTACCATACGCCAGCTTGGTAGTTTCCACCTCCTCCATCACATGCCATAACTTTGTTAGTATAAGCAACTTTGAAAGTCCTTTATAGAGGGCCAAGGAGTAGTGGTTACAAGATAAATGAAATTAAAGCCCTCCACCTCCCCCTTTGATCTTCCTTTTATGCAAACACCAATGTATATCTTTTCATATAAGATGGCGTAGACCTAATAGCTTGGAGCTAGGGTTTAGCAAAGAAGTTAGGGAAGATCCATGATTAGAGAAAGATTTAAAAACCAAAGATAAAAGGAGCACTAGCTACTCTAGGGTTTTGAATAAAACCCATAATAAGGTGCTTCATTATGCTTGAGTACAGCTCTTATATAAGAAAACCCTAAACGAGAGTTGATCTTGGCCATCCAACTTATCTAATCGTGACAATTCATTACAAAAGACTTTAAGTCAATAAAAATACATAAAATACTCTAGAAATTACTACTTATGCCCCTAAGTGACTAAAATGACTTGGGAAATAAATAATAAACATAAAAGGACAGATTCAATGATTATTTTGCCCTTCTATGTTTCTGCTTGTAAACTTTAAGCTTGTCTCTCCTACGCGAGAGCAATATTCTGAGTCGCATCAGTCCCCCCTTCCTCGAATTCAGCGGCTCGTCGTACCATCATATGGAATGAGATGCTTGACATTAGCATCGTAGGTGGGAATATGACTTAATGGCTTTAACTAATAGCCATTATCATTGATCTTTATCAAATTTTTGAACGGTCCTACCTTGACTAGACTTGAAATCAAGGCTTGCCATTTTACTGCATTCCCCAAAGACATTGGATTAACCACATTTTGGACCCATTGAAAATGCCATACTTTTAGTACATAAGCACAACATATTTGGTCATTAGCACATCGAAGAATACTTTACCATGAATTTTAAAGCGGCTCAAGATTAATGATGCATTACCCTCATGATTTACTTCAATTCGCACATAGTGATTAGATAGAATAGTCAAGACAACAAGAAAAATAGCATCCTTAGTACCAATGTCATCCCTTTGATCCTTTTTTCTTCATCTTGTTGTTCTCTATAGAGATTATCCATTGAGAGGATCACCCATCCAATCATCATTAACGATGGGACCCTTATCAAAGATGGGATTACAATTAAAACTAGGACCATCCACTGATTCCTAGAATATTGAATCCAATTGAAGATTGGATCCTCATTGTTCTCCTTCAAATTGTTGCTCACGTCGATGTCATCACGTATCAAACCCATCTTCGTAACTTAACATGTCATCAACTCATTCCCACCTAGACTCAAACTAATTCGCGCCAATCTCCATAAAACTCCAGTGTGTCAACCTTGAGACCGATTTCCCACTTCCTATTATCGCCATCCATAATATCAGCTCTCTCTCTCCTTGGAGCTTGATCATGAAGGGAATTATGAATTCCTCGTTTGCCTCGATCTCATCCTCTTGAGACGGGGCTTGCATCTACGCCAAACCGAAAGCTAGGGTTTCAACCAATCTCATCAAAACTGCAATCTCTTCTCACGAAATAGCATCAGAGGCTTCTACGGTTGTCGTTTTTCCTCCTCTTCCTCCACGAGGAGTCATGGTTTTTTATCTTGGGCACAAAATCGACACTACACAACCATCCGCTCAATTCTACAATACCGTCCGTATAGTACTACAACATCGTCTGTAAACTGCTATAGTATCGTCCATACATGTTGTCGGGCTCTGATACCAACCTGCCACAGGCCTAGTAGCTTGGAGCTTGGGTTTAGAGAGAAATTAAAAAAGATGAAAGGAGGAGCACTAGTAGCTCTAGGGTTTTGAATCAAGTCCATAACAAGATGCTTCATTATGCTAGAGTATATCTTTTATATAAGAAACCCTAGACAAGACTTAATTTTGGCCATTTAACAATCCATCTAATCGAATCATGCCCATTCATTATAAAATATTTAAGTCAATAAAAAGACATAAAATATTAAAAATTACTACTTATGCCCCAAAGTGGATAAAATGACTCAAGAAATAAATAAAAGACATAAAATAATAGGTTCAATAGCTATTTTTCCCATTTGATGATCTAGATATTTTGCCCTTTTGAAATCAATTTTTTCACACCTTTTCAAGGATGAATTTTATTTAATTATGCTTTAAAGATGCTTTTTATATTTTTTAGGTATTTTTTTTTTTTTTTTTATTTGTTTTAACATTGTTTGGCCAGACCTGCCCGGTTAGGCCAGGGGAACCAACCGGTTTTTTGGTTACTCGAACCCAGCCCTTGGCCGGTCTCTGGGTCCGATTCGTGCAATCGAATACCACACATCTTATGCAATTCAGAATCAAAAGCCATAACCAGACATAGTGCATTTAGCGAGAAGTAAGTTTGCAAAACAGATAAAAGAAAAGGATTGGGCATAACCAGTAACTTGGAAGAGGAGCTCAACAAGTGTCTTATCGACAAGAGGGGGAGACTGTTTGTGCGTAGAGAGAGATAGGGAGACTGTGTATGTGGGCGTGCATGTGTGTTTGTGTGTGTGAGAGAGAGAGAGAATGGACTGACCCAGTAACGATGGGATAGGAGCTCGGCAAAGGAATTGCCAGGAGAAGGGCAGAACCCCATGCTAATTCTCTTAGCAGCCTTGATCTGCAATGAGTCGGGATCATCACCAGCACCAGGGTCAGAAGCGCTGATGGCTAGAGCAAGCTGAACCTGATACTCCTCCTCCACCAAATTGTAATCAACACCCGCTTCCTCCGATATTCTATCACTGTGCAAAGTTGCCGGAGAAGAAGAAGAAATGGATGCCTCAGGTTGAGATCTCAATTCTAACGAAGAAGAAGCAGCAGAAGAAGAAGAGGTGGTTCCTCTGTTATTATTAACGCTCCCATCTCCACTACCTCCTATGCGCAATTTCCTGAGAAAATATTTCATCTTCGACATGGTAATGGAACGCCTCCCTCGTTAGGGCACTTTTTCCCTTTCCCCTTTGACTTTCATTTTGCAGTAGCCGCGCATAAATATACTCTCTCTCTCTCGTGCAGAGAGAGCCACCGCTTTTCGATTGATTCCTCCACTGAGTGCACTCTCAAGGTCGGAGAGAACGGGCTGATGTCGATCCATCCATGGCTTTAGGAGAGAGAGATTCTGGTTGAAGGGAAGATTTGTAGTGGGAAAGAACAAAAACAAGCACATCACACTTTTCTTTTAATTTTTTAATAAAACAAAAACGTATAGGGCCTGTCATGTATAGTGTTTTATCCATGATAAAAAACTTTTGCTCCAGTTACGCGTCTTTTTCGGTCAAAAATGGAAAAAATCCGCTTGTTCCATTTCGGTCCACTCCATACCGTCGTCGGCGTCTCGGAGAATATCAATATATCCGCTCACAATAACTTAAAAATAAATCAATTTTATTTTAAAAAATTGGATGAAAGAATCCGACCAAAAATTCGCTACGGCAAAAATATTTTATATAGAAATATCGTGAATATATCTGATTAGGCTAAAAAATCGAAGCGAAAGAAATTGATAAATTTAAATATTTAAAACTCTGAAAAATAATAATATGTCAAAGTCATCAATAAATAATCCATCTATGAAAATTTGAATAAATTAATGTAATTAAGTCAATCAATTTAAATAATCCATCTATAAAAATTTGAATAAATTAATATAATTAAGTCAATCAATTTAGATTTTTCATAACTCTCATCTCGTCATCCAAAACCAAATACAAAATTCAAATGATTCAGAATTAAATCAAGATTAATGAAAAAGTTATGAGTTTGGGAATGCTTAGGCCCCAAATATATCGTCATCATTATCATGAACATCATCATATGTGGAGGTGTCATCATTTTTTGTCTCTTTGAAAATCACAATAAACCAAGTTGTTCAAGGCTAATTGCATTACAATTCATTTTTACGAGATGTAGTCATCATTTTCGAGTTCACTCTTATGTAAACCAAATTGTTTTAAAATAATTGCTGTCAATTTATTCATCTTTTTAGTTTGTGTCGTCTCAAAAGCATTCTAATTTCTTTCGCATACTGATGTGCTACATGGTTGGCTTAGAATCCGAATAGCAACCATTCGAACCAATGGAATACTTTATCCATATATTTCCCACCTAACTCCTACACAATGAGAAAAAATTTAGCCACATATTCAAGATACCAGTGGTCGCTAGGCCTTTTGAGCCATTTCCGGTATTGGCACTCTCTTGAATAGTATCTCGATTTTCCACATACATAACAAGTGGTTTTCTTTTTGTTGGCAATATACTTTAGGTTCTTTTAATTTCCATTGTGGACCTTAGGAAAGAACGACTTCTTGTTATATGGAGTACTTGATTTTTGTTTAACAATGTTTGCTTTAGAGTGAAAATTAATTTATTCATCTTTCTTTTCCCTAAGTCTATTCTCTTCTTTAATTCGAATAGATATTTGAAGTTGAACCAAATCATGATCATCTTTCTTTTGTTTCATCTTTCTTTTGTTTCATCTTCTTTTGGTATTCTTTCCAAGATGGGGGTAACTTATAAATTATAGAGCCTCCTAAGAAATATTCATCCAAAAAATACCACAATCTTTAAGTTCACAGGCTACAAGCTACAACTCATATACTTAAGAGAGAATATGCTTGTTTTCAATGAATTTAAAATCTAAAAAGTTAGAGATGAGAAATCTTTTGTTACCAGACTCTTCCGTGAGGTACTTGGTTTCAAGTAGTTTCCATAACTATCTTACCGTGCCAATGGAGTCATACATGTCATAGATCGGGTACGCTAAGGCATTTAGGATATGACCCTTGCATATATAGTCATCCTCCATCCATCTCTTGTATGATTGAATTTGCTCGTCGGTGGAGTCCTCTGATGGTGGCGACAGTGCAGGCATTGACTCGGTGGCTATGTAGTAAGAGAAAAGAGAACAATTTGCTGCTATCTTTTGAAATTCAACCCGTTGAAGTGTTCGAGTCGAGTAAAATCATGATTCATGACTTTCAAATAAATCATGGCAAACTCATTTTTTTTACCCATAAATATCGTCTTGAATTGTTGGAGATTGGTTGGGTGAAATGGGAGAAGAAAATGATACGATTTCAAAAAATTAGATATTGAACTCGAATTGTTTTCTGACACGCAGGAGTGTTATATCAAGACAATATTTGCCGTTTCAACATAGTATTTGATGTGCATAATAAGAAGGGCAATTCATTATCAGGATACAGGAACACATAGAGGTTTTTTACAATGTTCCTAAGCTCTATGCACCCAAGCTTGGAACCCATACAATGAACACCATAGTTTTGATGTATTAGATAGAGAAAGAGTGAAAAATGAGTTAAGAGAGAGAGAGAGAGTTAGCCCACTGAAGTCAAATAAGAGTTCATGGGAGGGTTTGGTGTGGAAGCATCAATGGAGGCATAGTGGTTTTCATAATATAAAGATCATGGAGAAGGTTTACGTATGGGAGTAGAAAGGTTTGAAGAGGCTTCAACTAGGGCACATGGGTAGATTCTAATCAAGTAGATAGTTGTTGTAGTTTGATGGACCAGCATTGATGGGGTGTTTCGAGGGTAAAAACTAGGGTTCAGGTTTCATGGTGATTTGAAATAAGGACTAAGATTAAAGATCGTTATGGTTTAGAAGTTTTAGTTGATGCAAGAGAGCAGCAATTGAAGGGCAGTTTGGCTACGATCTTACGGTGGGATAGGGATTGAGATGAGCTATCTTTGGGATTTGTAGTTGATAAGGGTGGGTTTGATGAAGGGTGGCGTGGGAGGTGACTTGGCTTCCTCTGTGTTTCCCTCCTCTACCAGATCACGTGTTAGGCCTTCTATTACTAGGTGAGTGTTTAATCTCTAGTTCTTATGGTTCTTCAGTGTTGATGCTTGTTGGATGGTTGGTTTTTAAAGTTTCAAGTATTAGGGTCCAATCAATTTAGGTTTTTGAGTGTTTGATGTGTTTGGGCTTATTGTTGTGTTGTCACCTCTCTTTCTCTGTATCTAGTGTTGTATTGTCATCTCTTTCTCTCTCTCTCTCTTGTTGTACTTTCATCCTCTCTCTCTATTGCTCTGATGATGGGTTTGGGGTTTGGAGGATTAGAGAGAGGCAAGGGGTTGAGTATATAGAGAGAGATGAGATGACGGGTTTGGGGCCTGAACGGTTAGAGAGAGATGAGAGGTCAAGGACATAGAGAGAGAGTATTAGCTTGAAGGGGTTTTGGAGGATTAAAGAAAGAGAGGCGAGGGTTGAGTATGTAGAGACAATGGGTGGCCAAGTCTGAGGTATTATTAAGGAAAAGACATCCTTGGAGGAAGAGGATAAGGAAGGTGTTGAACTAGCCTCAGTGAGTATCAGACGTGAGGAGTGGCTGAGGCCATCAAGCGGGTGGGTTTGGTTGTGGTTGGTTCTTTCTCAGCTCCATTGCATGACCTTTTTGGTCTCGAAGATGGGGCTCATAGAGGTTGGGGTTTATCTTACTCTCCAGAAATTAAATGGATAGGGAACAATATCTTATGTTTGCGATCTAGTAAGGATGTTCAGAATGCCACTTTATCCCATGTAAGAAGAGTTTGCGGCAGAACTTTGTCCGTTGCAAGTTGAAAAAGCTCCGATCATTCTTCTCTAGTTTAGAAGCAAGCTTTCTACATCAAGGTTTGGGGGGTTCTGATTAATTTGTGGAGCCTAAATGTTTTTCAGCGATTAGGGAATGCTTGGGGTGATTTCCTAGGGATTGATTAGGAAGCATTGCAAGCTGATGATTTGTCGTTTGTTAGAGTTCAAGTGAATCGCAATGTCCTCTCTCCAAAACCTCATAAGGTTAAGCTATCAGTTGGCTTTGAAGACTTTATACTTGATGTACATACTGAGGAGGTTAAAAGCCCCAGTTTTTCATAGTCTCCAATGTTGAAGAATCTGAGGAGATTGTATCAAAGAATAAGTGGACTAGAGTACATTCTCATAAAGATAAAAAGGTATGGCCACTTTCAGTTTGGTCTAGATGGAGAAATTTTGAAAAAGATGCCAATGGTGAATTGGCAAAAATCAGGGATGGTAAGGGAGATGAGGACACGTGGCAACATGTGGAATCCATACAATAAATGGAGGGTTTCTTCGGGTACTATTAAAACACATAATAAGGTGTGGGTGGAAAAGAAAAAGAATGTTTTAAATTCAAAAGGGGGAGGGATACCAAAAGGGAGGAAAGTTTCTTTTTCAAATGGGGGACGGTTGATTGTGTCTATAGGGAGTGGTGATTTGAAAAGGCAACAATTGTCTATTACTTGTGAGGATGATGCAAGAAAATGTAGGGGAGGGAACCAAGATTAATGTGGGGGTGACGGTTATGGAGAATCCGAATCCCCGCAGTTGACGAGATTGGTAAGTTGGATAGTGAGGGGGTAGTGCCGAAGAAGGCTGCTCAAGGAAAGGTTGATTTGGATGTCTCGTCCTTCCCGGTGTTGACGACGTTTTACAAGATCAGAAGCTCAACAGTTGCAGCTCGGTGCTGAAGGATGCTGATCTGTTAAACCTCATCAGACTAGTGCTTAAGGGGGATCAGGAAGCACTCTTGCGTTTTGTTGTCCTTTCTTGTAAAACAATGGCTACTAGGTTCCTACCATTCAAGAAAGCTGCTCATAAGAAGATTAGGGAAGTGGCTCCTCGCATTCCTCTTGAGGAACAGGGACTCCCAATTGTTGTGGTTGAAGAGGAGGAAAATCATGTTATTTTCCCACCTTTATAGTCCTTGGTGTTGTCTTTTGGGGATCTTGCTGATGGGTGGCCAGAAGAGGAGGTTGATTTTGTCCCTCCTCTCAATACTATGCCTGCTGAAGGTATTGGTGGTGATGATTTGAATGACCACCAGCTTCATAATCTGTTAAGTGGAGTGGATGACATGGTGGCTTTAGTGCAAGCTCCTGAGGTAGTGGAAGAAGATGTCCCTGAGTCGTACTCAGTTGAACTCACTTTGGAGCCGATTGGGCTAGAAGAAAGTGAAGTTAATTTCACTAAGGAACAAGTTGTTGTATGTTAGACGATATGAGGGCTGATCTTGATACCCCCGTTAGAGTGGTGTTTGATGCCATTAGAGATAATGTGAAGAAAGCAGGGGCCAAGGTGAAGAGTGCAGCAGGTGTCTCTGTTAATGGGCGTGAGGAGGTTAAAGACAAAA